ATGGTTGTATCTCTTAAAGGATCGTGTAAGATTTCAACTTGTATATTAGAAATTCTCTGTTGCCCAAAAGTCTGTAATCCTGTGTTTTGCTTTCTACTGAGTTAAATACTTGAGGTTTGTGAGCCCTGAGTCTTTGGAGGGGCCCATAGGTTATACCTCTTTGCATTTTCCATACCTAGTAAAATAAATTACACATAGTAAGCCCTCAGCAATTTTGTAATATGATAATGATAATTTCTTCTCTTCTTAAAAAAATGAAAATAGTAAAAGGCAGAAATTACTCTACGAGACTATTGATCTTCCTGGCCTCCTTTAAGTCCCAACTAAAATCCAGCCCCCTATAGGAAGCCTCCCTAAAGCCCTCTTAATTCTTGTGCTTTCTCTGTATTTTTTTCCTATTTATCCTATCAGTATAGCTTACTTTGTATATATGTGTTTGCATGTTCTCTCCCCCTTTAAGAATGTAAGTTCCTTGAGGACAGTGACTGGTTTTTGCTTCTTTTGTGTTCCCTGGCACATAGTAGGCACTTAATAAGTTTTTATTGAATTGAATTGAATATATGACATGGTAAAAAGCTTGCTGGTTGAACTTACTTCCTTTTAGCTGATGACTAGGGAATACTTTTCAAACAGTCTTGCAGAGCAGTGGAAAGTGGACTGAATTTAGAGCCAGAGGTCTTGGGTTGGAATATTAGTTCTCCCATTTGCTAGTCATATGATCTTCAGCAAGTCATTTAAATTTTCTGGGATTCATTTTCCTCATCTGTAAAATAAAGGGGGTTGGACTAAATGATCATTAAAGGTCTCTCTTCTAACCCTTAATCTGTGACCCTCCAACACTGGTGTTTATTCAGTCAATAAATTAACAAACATTTATTGAACACTTACTCTATGCAAGGCATGTTCTTAATAAGCACAATTAACGTACTACCTTAATCTTGCCGCTTAAGAGGAATCTGATTTCCTTCTGAGACTCTAGTTGAATTTCTTGTTTTGCCAGACCACCCTGATCAATATCTCAGTTGTCTTACGAAGCACCTTTTTTTTTTTTTTGCATATGTCCAAATGTTGGTGGAAGTTTGAGGGCAGGAGAAGGCTGGTGTGAGACATGAAGGGAAGCAGGGAGGCATTCCAGTTGGACAGCGTTTGCAAGAAAATGGGAGTTTGATGAATGAAGGCTCAATCTCTGAAAGGTAGACACGTTCATCTCAAATGGAATTCCCATATTAGTTCCCAAACTGTTTGGCTCCTTTAACCAGACTCATTTTAGAAGGACATTCTTTATCATTGATCACCTTTTGGGAAAGTCTTCTTAGCAGGATATCTGATAACCCTTCCCTCCAACCCCTGGTTGATCACGACCTTCCCTTTAGGACTTCACATAGCACTTTGTTTTGCCAGCTAACATAATGTGAGATGTATTATGGACATCAGCATTCCCCTTCTATATTGTCAGCTCCATGACCTTGTCTTGCCTAAATTTTTTATATGCCCAGGTACCTAGTACAGGACACTCCATAAAATAGGCATTTAATAAATGTTTATTATTCTGAACACAGCAGTTCTGTATAGAATGAAATTTAAGGGGTTAAAATTGTAACTAAAAGAATCTGAAAATGAATTCATGCTTTGCACAAAGCATTTGTCAGCTTAACCTTCTGTGTGAAACAGTGACATCTGTTATGTATATGAAGTATGACTGTTATTGACCCAGAGGAAGGATCAATTGGCCTTCATTATTTTTCATGGTTTAATATACTTTCTTATAGTTTATACTTTCTGGAGTGTATACATTCACTGAACAAATATTAATTGAGTGTGAACTATTTGTTGGACCCTGTAAGGGACAGAGGGATATATGTGACACGTCTTTGCTCTCCAAGAGCTGAAGGCTCTAGCAATTTGGGACAAGCCACTGAGTGCCCTGCTTTAGCCCTCACTGTGAATCAACAGTGGCCATGACAATTTCAACTGCTACTTGAACTAAATCCCAAAGAAGAAAAGAGCCCAAGTGTACAAAAATATTTATAGCAGCTTCTTCATTGTAGTTGTAGTGAAGAATTGGAAAGTAATGGAGTATCCATCAATTGGGGAATTTGTTGTTCAGTCATTTTCAGTCATGTCCAACTCTTCACGACCCTATATGGGGTTTTTCTTGGCGAACATACTGGAATAGTTAGCCACTTCTTTCTCCAGCTTGTTTTTACAGATGAAGAAACTGAGACAAAAAAGGTTAAGTGACTTGTCCAGGTTCACACAGCTAGTAAGTGTCTGAAGGCAGATTTGAACTCAGGAATATAAGTCTTCCGGATTCCAGGCTTATCACTCTATCCACTGTGCCACCAAGCTGCCCTCCATTGGGGAATAGCTAAACAAATTATGACAGATGCATATGTTCTTTAAATACAATTTTACTTAAAGAAATCATGAAAAGGACAGTTTCAGAGAAACCTGGGAAGACTTAAATGAACTGATACAGAATGAGGGAAGGAGAAATAGAAGAACAATTTATACAATCACAATAACATTGCAAAGAAAAATGACTTTGAAAGACCAACCAACTGAGAATTCCGGAGAACTGATAATGCACCATGTTAACTCTCCCCTTGACAGGAAAGAGATGAACTCAGTTCACAGGATGAGGAATATGTTTTCAGTCATGGCCAATATATGTGTTTGTTTTGCTTAACTATACTTATGGTTACAAGAATTTTCTTTTTCTTTCTTTTTTTTCTTTAACCAGATGGAAAGGGCAGGAAACAGGGAAGCTAATAAGAATGTTGCTGAAAAGAAGAGAAAAGAAAAGAAAAAAAGGAAAAGAGAAAAAGCCTTTGAAGCATTTAAAGAAATGCACAGAAGAGAGCAGAAAGAAGTTCAAAAAGAAATACTATCAGAATAGCTTTGAAAGTAACATCTTGAATTTACTTATTTGGGTTTGTTTTTTTTTTTTAAGTAAGCTGTACCTAGTAGAGATTTGTGGCTTCATACATAATACTCTTTTTCTGTTCTATTTTGTATATAGAAATGTCCATCTTTTTGACGTTTTGAAATAAAAAATTTGAAAGTTTATGATAAAAAATATAAAGTTACAAAAAGAATTGTAGGAATAGGTTTGGAGTAGCAAAACTGTAAAGCTAGAAAGGTAGTCATTACCTAGCTTCCCCCTACCCCAACACACAGCCTTTTTTTGCCAGGGCATGGTGGTATTGTCCGGATTATTCCTGGAGGCCACCTTCTTTGCCAGGTAACTACTTCAAGCCCATTCCTCCAAGTGGACATATCCACCTAAAAAAAAAAAAAACCTGGAAAAATCCATCTGGCCACAGTCTAGTATAGAATCAGAAAAACAGTCATATTTAACACTGAGTAAGAAGCATTTTTCATATAAGTTGTTCTTGAAATGTTCAAGAAAAAAACCACATTTATAATGGATTAACCTTTTTTTCTTACTTATCTGGGCAAAGGAAATCATGTTTTATGCAAAAAAGCATTGGCTAAGAAAAGTACTCTCTCTTAGCTCAGAACCTGCTCTCTCTTAAAGTTTTAATGAGATTCTGCCTGCAATCACTGTTTCTGTTTCAAAGTGTAAAAAAAGAATATTGGTCTGGGTAGGATATTACATAGAGAAAACAGTTTTTTTTAACATTTGCTTCTCAAAATAGGGGAAGGGATATCCAAGAGAGAAAATTAAAGTTAAAAGCACCCACTAGTGGTTGTTGTCCTTCATGCTCAAAGAGGACCAAAATGACATCATTATGTTGGGGTTAAGATACACAGTGTGTGCAACCGTAGCTCATCAGACCAATACAAACTCCCAAGGCTCCACCATAGGTTGGGTTCAAATAGTCCACATGAACATTTGGAGTGGAGAAGTCTTGAAATTTGCACATCTCACATTTCCTTTGAGCTACTGTAATTCTGTTTAGTTCATAGAGCATAGCTCCTTCTTTGATGTGGGCATGCCACGCTCAGTACCTGCTATGTCTAAGGTGAAGTAGTGGGAAGAGAGAAAACCTGAGAGCTAGGAAGACCTGGTTTCAAGTCCCACCTATGATATCTGTTGCTTGTGTGACCCTGGACAAATCACTTAACCTCTCTCTCAATGTCTCAGGAAACTCTCTAAACTTCTATCTTGTACTGTAGGTGGCCTTTGGCAAAGGAAGTTTCCTCACAGGGAATTCACTATACCAATGACATCACAAGTCTGGTCTAAAAAGAAAAATGTGCAAGGTATTAGGTTGGATATTTGGGATACAAAAATGAAACAGTCCCTGCTCTCCAGAAGCTTACATTCTATTCCATTATAAGTAAATAGGGGAGAGAGAGGCAGACTCTTAGACTCCAGCTGAAACACTGGTCACTACCAGCAAAGGGCAAGAGGCTAAGTAGACATCATTTTCCTCTTGTTTAAATACTCTCATGCAGTGTGTGACCTGGGGCAAATCACTTCCCCTCTCTGGGCCTCAGTTTTCTTTTCTGTAAAAAGAAGGAGTTGATTTCCAAGGTCCTTTCTAATTTTGATATTCCACAATCCTTAAGATCTGGAATCTACGTGCGCAATGTGCAAAGATACCCTAGAACATTATACACACCACAAAAAAATTAAGACAAAAAAATAAGTCTCTTTGCCATTGAGTCTGGTGCTTATGAGTAATGAACTATCTGGGGATGGGGGTGATTGCCCAGAAGCCCCAGAGATAGTTCAGCAGAGGTACTTATTGCTGATAAGAACTTTCGGGAGGACAGCTCGTTAACTGAATGCCAATCTTCGCCAAGGTCGAAAACGGAAGGGCTTGGCTAATGCAATATCTCATTTAGGCAGCCACACCTCTGTCACTCTGTGGCAAGGCAGGCAATGGGCTTTTACACGTTACAATCCAGGGCTGGCATCCTCTCAAGTGGGCGTGGCCAAGAGAAGAAATTAATGAAGTCCTAATGGTATTTTTTTTTTTCCTGCAGTATCATGTTGTAAGAGCTTGTGATTGGGCTGTGGGCGTGCCCTGGCTGTATAAGTAACACATTGACTTACCAGTGGCATATAGGTCTTCTGAAAGAGTACAGAGCAGTCCTGAATTGCACTGGAGTCTGAGCCAGGTAAGGTAAATGACTTTCAATTTTCTACTTCTATTCTGCTTTCAATGGGAGGCTGGGACCATGTGACCAAAGCCAAGACTGTCTCCCCAAGTAAAAGAGGAGTAAGTTTGAAATCTCCTTTCCTGGGTTTGAGTCCCATCCATGTGCCACTTACTGGGTGACCATGGACAAGGCACTTAACCTTGCTAAGTCTTGGTCTCTAGCTCTGTAAAGAGAGGGAATCAGACTGAACGATGCCTAAGATTCCTTCCAAATCTAACAGTTCATGATTCTGTGATTGATTCCTATAACTTTTTGAGTGGTTTTAGCTAAAAAGCCTGGGGAACTTCTAAGGCTGTGCCATGTTTAAAGATGAATAACACTTGAAGTGTCCTATTTGCCCTCACTTTTCTTCCTTCCTTCCTTCCTTTGTTCCTTCCTCCCTTCCCTTCTTTTTATCTTTTCCTTTGTCTCTCTCCTTTTCTTTCCTTCCTTCCTTTCTTTTTTCTTTTTCCTTATCTCTCTTCCTTTTTCTTCCTTCCTTTTTTCCTTCCTTTTTTCCTTCTTCCTTCCTTCCTTTGTCCTTTCTCCCTTCATTTCTCTCTTTTTTCTCTCTCTTTTTTTTTTTTGCAAAATTCTGAAAGTTGTGTAAATTACTCCCTTTCTCTATAAATAGTGCTCATAGATTTGGAGTTTCTTTAGCTGTAGAGATGAACAGAATATTGAGGTTGGACTGGCTTTACAGATCAACTAGCTTAACTTCCTCAGTTTACAAATGATGAAACTGAGGACCAAAAAGGGCAGGTAATTTAGCCAAGGTCACAAAGCTTATTAGTGGCAAAGCCCTAACTAGACCATGTCTCCATGGGAGAGAATCCTTTATTTTCATGTATAGTTCACATTCGCTTCCTCACATTTGTTGCAAACAGCAGTGAAGTAAGGAATTAATAAATTAATCTAAGCGGTGGCATTATGAAAAGAGCTACTTATGTATTTTGAATGAGAAGATCTGGAATCAGGTGCTGCCTCTGTTTTTTAATACTTGTATAATCCTGGCCAAGTCATCACCTTTCTCTGAGCCTTTGTTTCCTCATCTGTACAATTAGAGAATTGGGCTAAAATTTCTAAAGTTCCTTCCAGCTCAAAATCTGTGAACCTAGGATTCTGCTACTTACCCAGCTTTAAGCAAAGCTCTGGGGAGAAGCATTTGCAAAAGCATTTTTTAAAAAGTACATTGGAGATCCCTCCCACAGTCTTTCTATATATAAGGTCCATCTTGTCTCCAGTAAAGTGCTCAGATTCTTAAAATCTAGCCACTGCTCAGATTCTTAAGATCTGGCCCATTTGCATTAGTGATACAAATGCTTAGATTCCTTAAGAGTCTGCTCAATAAGATGGATGTTCTAATAAACCTTGTCTTTGGCTGAAAAAAATTTTTTTTAAATTTTAAAAGTGTATTGGACTGGTAAAGGTCCCCAGCATAAAGAGGGTGGCTCCTTCAGCATGAGATGCTGTGACTCTCATAATTCCAGGAGCCAGAGATCCTCACCCTGCATGTTACTCCATATATGGGCCATTCAGGTGGTATGTTACTGAGAAAGTTGTCATCAGCGGCAGTGGGACAAAGAGGAAGGAGGAGCTTCTGAGAGGAAAGGCCCTTTGACTAATCTGACTTTGTAAAACAGGTTTCACATTCAAGTTGGAAGCATGAAGATAAAGTGCATTGCTCTGCTCTCCGTCCTGCTCCTGGTCTCACAGCTGCTCTGGGTGAATTGTGAAAAACAAGAGAGAGATGGTAAAGGAGAATGGAAACAGCTTGGCTCTCCTGACAAGAGAGAGAGAGGCCAGAAAGCTAAAGGAGGAAAAAACCTCCCTCGGGGCAGGTTTTCCACTCAAGAGAATGTCCCCTGTACTTGGGCAGTGACTGAGAAGGAGAATGTCACCTTGAAAGTTCAATGTAAAGGACAGGAAACCCAATTTGAGTGTACCTTTGCAGGAAATCCTTCCTCCTGCCCCCATTTTGCAGGCAATGAGAAGGCCTACTGGAAACAGATTGGCCGTGCCCTGCGGAAACAAAAGAACCTTTGTGCGGACCCAAAGAGTGTCCTCAAGTCCCGAGTGTGCAAGAATGGTGCCAAGGAAGCCCATCTCAAAATGATGGACTCCACCATTAAGAACAGGAGCCAGGACAAGAAGGGGAGAAAGGATCCCCAAATATCAGCTTCCACTGTCAGACCAGCTGCTCCGACTATCCAGCCAACTGGTCAGCAAGCAACTACTCAGAAGTGCGTGGAGGACGTTGATGTGATCAACCAGAGGAAGATGGCAGAAGAGTTCTGTGGAGATTCCTGGAGCTCATTATGCACCTTTCTGCTCACTATGCTACAGGACAAAAAGTGCTAGTGAACTCTAAGGAGACTCAGGCCCATTTTCAGTCCCTGCCCTGAATTGGAGCCTCTCTCTCTCTCTCTCTTCATGTGCTGCAGAAATTCATTCATGCTTCCCTCTATGGCATGAACTTCCATAGTGCCAGAAGGGAGGAAAGTACAGCTATGTATTTAAATGTGTTTTGTAATTTTTTTCTTGTTTTATATTTTGAAATTTATACTTCATTAGATTTTATTTTCATAGAGGCTGCTAACAGTTACCAGCAGATGTCACAAAGGCTGTAAAGAGGTCTTGTGTGTATACAAATAAATATATATGCACATACATGTAGGTGCATATATATGCATATACATGTGTGTATATATGCAAATGTGCGTAGGTGCATGCATATATACATATATAAATACACACACACATATATATACTTACAAACATACACACACAGCAAGTTCTCTTCATTTTCTCTTTGAGTTCAGCAAGACAAAAAGACAGTTTTAGTGCAATGCACTCCCTGGCAATCGTATAGTGCTCCTCATCTGGTCAGACACCCCGGTTTTGGCCAAGATAATAAAGTTTTGCAAATATGTTTAGCCAATGTTTGGTTTCTCTATATCTGTTACTATATGACCAGGACCTGAGGGGTAGATAGAGCAAACAACCCTCTCTTTGTGGGTTGTGATTTCAGGGATCTAGGAAGACTCTTCTCTAGAGCCATAACTAGTGACATTAGTGTCTCAGGCCAAACAGCACTAATGTTACATTAGAATTGGCCAAGAGGTAGGGCAGAATCTGGTATACTTTCCCATAGATGAGTGATCGAGGCCCCAGGACATCTCGAGCTTATTGTGTGCGGGGAAGGTTACTCTATGGGAAGTAAAATGGTGGGACTGAGCAAGACTGGGCCCGAGAGAAGTTCATAGAGTGGGGCAGAGATGAGAAGTATCTCTCCACACACACACACACACACACACACACACACACACACACTCACACACACCATTTCCTAATTCACCAGTTGCCCTTGTAACTAGTTCCTATAGAGAGGCAGCATGAAATAGTGATCAGAGAGCTGACCTAGGAGTCAGGAAGACCTGAGTTCAGATTCCAGATGTTACACATATTGCCTATGTGCCCCTGGGCAAGTCACTTAATAGCATTACAGCTATTAGCATTGTCTGACCAGCCTTATCATTGTAACTTTGAAGTTTCATCCATTTAGCTTCAAGTTTTGATAATTATTGAGATGCAAATCTTTGAGCCAGGCCCACTTTTAAAGTCATTCACAATCATCAGTTGCTTGGTGTTAATCTGATACAGGCTTTTGATACAGGGATGGGGGAATAATAATATTTATCTAGTACTTTATATAAATTTTCTCTTTGGATATTCATAATAATTCTGTGGAGTAGGCCAGGTAGACATTAGTATCCTATTTATAGATGGAGAGTGGAAGTATAGAGGAATGAATCCTTTTTCCCAAAGTCATATAGTTAGTAAAGGGAAGGAAGTGAGGATAGGCTCTCAGGACTAGAACTCAGGTCTCTCTAGATGGCAAATCAAGTGCTTTTTATTACATCCTATCATCCTTCCAAGTGTAAAATAACACTGATACTCAGTTTTGTTTAATTCACACTTTGAGCCCTGTCTAATGATGTTAATCTAATAAATCTCTTGAGGAATTATCCCTCATGTCTATCTGGGGGATGGGTAAGAAGAGTTATGAAGAAGTACCAGTCAGGAATCAAAGTTTCCCAAGAGCAGTCCCTATTCCAGGTGCAGGCTGAGGAAAGGGCTAGAGGAAGAGAGAAGAGCTGGAGGAGCTTGTATACTAACAGTCGAAGGCCCTAAAATCAAATCCCATCTCTACCATTTGCTACCTGTCACCTTGTCCAATCTGTTTTCCCTCCTTAAGTCTCAGTTTCCTCATCTGTAAAATGAAGGGGTTCGACTAGATGATCTCCAAGGTCTTGTTTAGTCTTACTGACTTATGACTTAAGATTATTTGAGCATCAATGTCTAAGACTTGACATTATGTCATTGCTGTCATAATATCTGGCATTTATATGATAACAATGATAATAGTTAGCATTTTCATAGTGCTTTAAAGTTTACAAAACATAAATTGGCCAGTGAGGTGGTGAGGTGGATAGACTGCTGGGCCTGGAGTCAGGAAGACTCATCTTCCTGAGTTAAAATCCACCCTCAGACACTCACTAGCTATGTGACCTTGGGCAGATCACTTCACCCTGTTTGCCTCAGTTTCCTCATCTGTAAGATGAGCTGGAGAAGGGAAAGGCAAACCACTCCAGGATCTTTGTCAAGAAAACCCCAAATAGGGTCAGAAGGAGTTGGACGTGACTGAAAATGACTGAACAACAACAAAACGCATCATGTCATTTGATTTCCACAACAACCCTTTGAATTATCTCCTTTTTTGCAGATGATGAAGCTAAGGGTCAGTGAGTAGGGTTAACAACAGAAGGGAAAAGTCTACCAATTGACCCAATTTTTTTTTACTTCAAAATAAAAAATTTTATCTTACCATCTCTATTTTCTTTGTGGATTAAAAAAGCATGCACTTAATGCAGCTTGGTCTCAAATTCCAGTCATTCTAGTCACTTAGGGAGTAAATATCAGAAGTGGGACATGAGCCCTGGTATCTCCTAATTCCAAGTCTAGAACCCTTACTGGCATTTATATGATAACAATCCTAATAACTAGCATTTTCACACTCTACCACTACCTCTCAATCACTCTTCATGGTATCAAAATGTCAGCATCAACCACATCCAGACGTTTCTCGCACGTCGTAGGCACTCAATAAATATTTGGTGTATAAATTAATGAATGAATGAATTTTCTTTGCTTGGTAAAAAGTTACCAAATACAACTTTAGGCCTTAATTAAACTAGGGTATGACTATAGGTTCTTTGGAGTGACCTTAAATCACCTGGGAAGGGGACAGGCCTTTCCTTTCTCTGAGCCTCGGTTTCCTCAATCATAAAACAAGTGGGTTGAACTAAATAATCTCTAAGATCCCTTCCTGTTTTAATGTTCTGTGAATTTATGGATCTCCTTCTAGCTTATACATGAAGAGGATGTGCGATCTGAATGACAACACCCGCTATTTCACGCCATAGCCCATCCAGAGGAAAATCCTTGCAGTCAGATATTGAGAATTATTTTTTTAATGTGCCTATTACATTGTCACCCTCCTCAGTTGAGCTCCCTTTGCCTCCACTGAGCTTCCTTCCAGGGTCAAAGCCATGTGAAAGGATTAGAAGAGATTGCTTCCAAATGAATACAAAAATACAAAGGTTTAAAAGCAATATCACTAGCTAAGCATGGGCTAACCTCAGGGGACATGGGGTTTAGAAGTCCTCAAATAAGAGTGTCACTTGCAACATTTCTATAGAACCTCTGTTCTCCTTTCTGTATTGATTTATCCATTACCAAGGGATTTCCTTCCAATTGCTCTAAGGGGCAAGTAAGAAAGGTTTTCTTTTTCCCCATTTCACAGACGAGGAAATTGAAGTCCCAAAATGTGAGGTAAATGTCTTGCCTGTGGTCCCATAGCTAATTGTAGGCAAACAGAGGTGTGGAGGGGGAGAGAAAATTCCCATGAAGGTATGGGGTGGGCCAGATGACCTCCAAGGTTTCCTCCAAACCCAAGATGATATGAGTCAGCAGCAAAGTAAGGGTAGAATTGAGATTGAGAATGAATGTATGAAATCATGAAATGAGGGAAGGCACACCTGGTTCTTTGGTACTCACTGGGAAAGACCATGATGGCAGTGGGAAATGGGACTGTAATCATCCTTTGATAAAGCATAGAAGGCACGGAGACAAACAGCACAAAAAATAGAGACAAATGGTGAAAAGCGTCCAGAGGCCGACAGCGTGGAGATGGGGATGGGAATGGGGAGGTGGAGGTAGGCAGGCAGTGATGGGCAAAAGGAGGAGCAGGGACAGATAATCAATCCGGTAACCACAGATTAGAGTTGCCAGCACTTGGCGGCAGGGACCCCTGGAGACAGAAGAGGACTCAAGGGACAGGCGTTTGATATCCCATTTTTATAGAGTTTTCTAGAACAGACTGACTCTTATCTGGGCCACTAGGGGGTTAGTTCACTAACTATCATTTCAGAGTTGTCAACAAAACTTTACAAAGTTAACAAAAGTTAACGTGTCTGCATCATCTCAAAATTATCGGCACCATTTGGGGATCTGCTATGAAATGACTGCAGATGGCTGAGATTTAGATATTATAGGACCAAAAGCCCCTGACAGCAGAACTTAGATGGCTTCTGTGACTCAGCACACATTACCAGGATGTGATTTTTGGTTAATATAGGATACAATTTATAAATTATGCTTCTTTGATCTTTGGGATGGCTTGTACGTGACTTCTAGGCTCGCCTTTACAATCTTAATGCCCGTTATTGCCACTTTAAATTGGCTACTTATAAACTTAATATACTGATTAGAAGGGAATGGGGGAAGGGTGGTCAGGACCACCAGAATAAAATGTGGTTTTAATACAGCCTCCATCCATGGTGTAGGGCAAAGGAAAAAGGGGTGGAGGAGCAAGAGGAAAGAGAATACAATCACCCCAGACTGCCAATAAGTGTTTTGATCATTATCAGTGCCCAAGACTTGATATTGTATTATGATGATGTTATAGGGCAGCTGGTGGTGCAGGGCTTGGAGTCAGGGAGACCAGAATTCAAACCTGGCCTCAGGCACTTACTGATTGTGTGTCCCTGGGCAAGTCATTTAACCTCTGTATGCCTCAATTTCCTCAACTGTAAAATGAGGATAATAATAAGTACCTACCTTGCAGAGGGCTTGGGAGAATCAAATGAGATTATATTTGAAAAAGATAAAAGCACTTAGCACAGTGCCTAGCTCATAGTAGGCACTCTAAAAAATGCTCATTCCCTTCTCCTTCTCTTCCTTTCCCTTTTCAGGTTTTCTTCCTCTGAGGCCAGAATGTTCTGTCACCCTACACTGCCATAGAAGTAAGATATTTGTAGTCTGGTGGAATGAATTCCTCTTGGAAAGAAGGTTTTCCCTTGAGCTTTCCTTGTTCTTTCTCTGCATAGCCACAAACCAGTACTGACTTGAATGACTGGAATCTGTCACAGTTCCCTCACAACCCCTGGGGCTCCTCTCTTGAAGTTTTTTGGCAAAAGTAGTAAAGAGAGTCAGTGACTGAAGTAGCCATCCTAAAAACGTTTAACACAGCATTTCACTAAGGGACACTAAATACTCATGTAGCAACAAGCTCTGGCTCAATCTCCTAGAGTAAGGCCAGGCACATCACCCTATCAGGGTTCCAGGGGGCACC